GCCTGAGAACCTGCAGGACCCTGTGGCCCCTGCCACGCCTTGTCCACCAGGCGGCCCATCCCCAAACGTGCCCCGCTGACTCGCCGCTGTGCAAGTCCCAAGAAGTGGCCACCTTCGCCTCCATACAAGGCTCTCCTGTAACAGGCAAAGCCCCTGAAAAGGTGTCCCGGAGCCACGGAACACCCGGGCGGCCTTGTTCTCACGCTGCTCTGCACATTCTGGGAGCTGGGACGGCTGGTAGGCCTCGAGAAGCCATCCACTCGGTCTAACAACCTTTTGGGAAAATTTGGAGACCTTTTCTCTGGTGTCCACAGAGTTTCTCTAAGTTGTTTCTACAGTTAGAAACCCTTTCAAAAAGCCATGCCGGCCAGCAGACTGTGATGTTCCAAGAGGTGCTTCCATGGTGTTTTAAAATTCAAGACCTAAACAGGTAGCTTAATGAATGCTACTGAAATTTATCTTCAGCAAAAGAAACTTGGTCTCTTTCAGTTAAACTTTTAGATCTAGCTTTGCCTACAAGTATGTTTTCTGAGTTAGCATCGATCTCTCCAGCGGTGGGAGAGGAAACGGGGCTCTGGCAGGAAGGGGGCTGCAGAGCGTCCCCAAGTTCACGTCCACCCAGACCTCAGCCCACGACGACTGTTCTGTCAACCAGGGCCTTGGCAGATGTGACTGGTCAACGTTCTCGAGCCGAGCTCACCCTGGATTCAGCGTGGCCCAAGTGCAGTGACTGTCCCCACAAGGACAGTGAGGCAGGGAGGAGGCACGCGAGGCCGGAACAGACGCAGCCACAGCCCAGGGGCGCCTGGGCCACCGGAGCCGAGGAGGCAGGAGGGAGCCCCCCGACCTCAGACTTCTGCCTCGAGACCAGTGTCCCAGCCGCCGGCCGGAACACTGGCACAGGCAAGGACACGAAACACAACACAGGAAGGTGCCACCAAGCACAAGCTGTGTCTTCCGTGGGAACTTCAGCACATACCAAGTTCATTATAATTTTCTTGATCAGCGGGACACGTCTGGGGCCAAAGGTGACGTGGCAACCCGGAGGGGACACGCGGGCGCAAGGGTGGGGTCCGGGTGTCATGCACTACAGTATCCGCCTATGATTCCCCTGTTGGATCCCTGCTTCTCTGCCAGGGCGCTCAGCCGCGGGACTGTCTGGCAGCTTCCTGCACAGCCTGGATGTTTTGTGAACAGCTGATAACTGTGTTGATGAGGTGTGAGAAGATGGTCTTTAATTCCTAGGGCTAAAGTCTTCATTTGACCAAACAATCCTAAAAACTCGCTATACCAAAAATCATACTCCACGTGTTGGGAATAAAAATCATTTCCCATTGGTTTGCTTTACTTACACAGTAAACTGTGTGGAGAGATGTAAGTTTTCGTCAACTGAACAGCCATTTATCCACAGGATAGATGGACCGTATGGTTTAAAGAACCACGTGCACAAGAAAACCCTCCAAAAATTAATGCACGAATCTTAGACGCATCTGTTTATTCATTGAGCAAATAATTCAATTAAACACTATTGATTCCTTCCTCCTTTCAAAGTGCCAAATTCACAGCCTCGGACAGCGGAGAGTTGGGTTTCTCACGTGTGCGGGTGCACAGCCAGAGCAAACACTCCCTGGCAGCAGCAGGGCAGGGGCAGTGTCCAGCGAGCTGTCGTGGGCAAGCCCAGAGCTTGGGGGTGCGGGGGGTGTCCTGGTGGCATTCAGGTCCACTTAGATGCGCTGCCACACTCCGGGCGGCTCCCAGAAGAGGCTGCAAGGAGACTGAACGGAGCCCTGGGTGAAGCCACCGATTCCGCAAGGGAGACTCCGTGTGCCCGGAGGACGAGGGTCTCCTGGAGCCGCCCCGCTCCGCCAAGCCCGACGCCTACCAGCAGGCCCGCTGGGAAGAGCTGCTGCTCAAAACGGCCACGTCCCGTTGGGGTGCACTGGGACCTCCTCGGGCCCGAGACCGTCCTGGCCACGCCCCCTCACCGGAACCCACTCTCCTGCGCGGGGTGGGGTGGGTGGGCGGGGCGGGCGGGGTGGAGGGCCCCTGCTTCCTGCCCCCCTGTGGTGGGCGGCCCGCCTGGGTCAGCCCTCGCGTGCCCTCGTGTGCCCAGGACCCGTCCCTGCTGTGGGTCCCTCTGACCTCTCAGGACCACTGACATGGGGTCCCCAGCACAGTCCAAAGGGCTTGCAATTAAGGCACATGGAAATGTGTAGCCTAGAGCGGACGGATGATTGACTGTTTAGGAAATGACCTCCTGGGGGAAGGGGCCACACAAATGCGTAACGTCCAGCGGAACTGCTGCTCTGCACCTGACCTCACACACAAGCCGCCCACACAGGGAAGGGGCAGGCACTCCGCGCACTACACCTTCCCAGGTGTGCTCACCAGCTGCCCGGACAGCAGGACACCAAGGCCGGGGGCAGGTCCAGGGGCGGCCAGGCCAAGGGAAGCCAAGGACCGGGGAGGCCAAGGCGGGGTCCGCAGGGGCCCAGGAGGGGAAGCTTGGGCACATAGTTCCACTTCCCTGAAAAATCAGCTGTTTGTGAGAACTGCCTACAAGAAACAGCATTTCACTTAGTTCCTTATCTAAGTCAGTTAATTAGTTGGAAAAGCGCTCAAGAACGAAGATCCCCTGTACTTTCCTGAAGGAAGAGGAACTTATTAAAACCTGGGCAGTCCACCAAATATCGAGGCTTTGGGCCTGGAACCTTCAGGCTGTTGGTCCTTGGAGATGCTTGGGGCCCCCAGGTGGCCTTCGGAACAATGCGTCCATCGGGGGTCTCACTGTGGATCCACAGACCAGGCAGCCCCTCAGCACGCGGGGGCGAGCCCTCTCCCTCCTCCGCGGTCTGGCCCTCAAAGCTCTGCTGCTCAGGGGACGACCTCGGGCTGTTCCTGACCAGGAAGTGGGCGCCTGTGTCCTTGCTCAGGCTCTGCCCCCTCTCACTCACGGTCAAGGACGTGTGGCCGTGGGTCCTGTACCACCAGTCCCGACATCCTGATGATACCGGGGCCAGGCTGCCAACTCTGGGAGGAAACACAGAAGGATGGAGCCGCCCAGCCGCGGGCAGCGCCTCCCTGGCCGAGTCCAGGGTCCATCATGACCCCGGCCAGCACTGGCCACCTGTGTGGTCACCGTGTGGCAGGAGTCCTTCCTCTAGGGGATGGGACGGGTCCCTGAGGTCGAGCCAAGGTCTGAAGGTGAAGGGTCAGGAGAACTGGCGCCGGGGAGAGAAGTCTGGGGAAGGGGAGGGGGTCACGTGATCAGCGGCAGCCACGCGTGTCACGACCGTGCGTAGTCGGCCCAGCTCCGCTCACGCTCCCTCACGCCCAGGGCCGTGTCCTCCCGCTTCCCACTCAGTAAGAAAAGGAAACCACGACCCTGCAGGAGCCTCCCCACCGCCGGCCACGCGCCCAGCTGGGCGCCCCCCACGGAAACCGGAGCCCCACATGCGCCACACGTCCCGTGACAATTCCGCCCGCGTCCAGAGCCGCTGCCCTTTTCGTGGCATTTGTTCTGCTGGCAAAGAAAAGGCCACTTTGGAAACCTCCCGGACCTCTTCCCAATGCGCCTGCGGCTGGCGGCTCCCGTCCATCAGCTCTGGTCTGTCCAGGGCCCTTAGTCGGGGCCCTCGGGCGAGCAGAGAGGCCGTTCCAGCACAGCAGGCTCACTGGGCCCAAGTACCAGCCAGAAGTGACCTGCGCTCGGGGGCCCATCCCAGGAAAACCAGCGCGGCTAGAATACCAGAGGAGGCGCTGCTGGTGAGGGCGCCTGGCCTGCGGGCACTGGGCCGGGCTCCCCGCGCCCCTCACAGCATCACACGTGCACTGGCGGATTTCAACAGGCAGGCATCGCACCCGTGGCTCGAAGGCGCGGAACCCATGGGACCTTGGATCCAGGCTGCTGATTGAGCCAAACTCAAAATGAGCGGGGGGGGGGGGGGGG